ATATAGTTTTACCTTTTTCCAAATTTCGCAGATTTTTTAATAAGGTTTTAATATAATTTAATCAAGTTTTACTTTTATCATTTAGACGTCTATCTAAACTCTTGATTTCGTCCAGCAACCTTAGATGTATTATTATTCTATTAAAATGATTATTCTATCATTCTCTAAGAATGATATACTATAGTTTTATCAGAATGATTTTTTTATCGTTTCTATAGAATGATGATTTATCATTCTATCAGAATAAACTTCTATTGTACTTTTAGAACTATATATATCATTCTATCTAAACGATATTTTTATTCTTCTTTAAAAAAAATTTGTTAAATTTTTACTTGAGTTCATCTGACTTTGGATTCGAGTTTTGCTTGACTTTGGACTTGAGTTTATGCTTGAGTTTTACTTAACTTTAAACTTGAATTTATCTCGAGTTATCTTGAATCAAGCCAAGTTTAACTTGAAACTCAATAAGTCAATTTTTTTTTGATTTGGTTTGACTTAACTTGACTCAACTCATTTGACTTGAAAGTTGACTCAGCTCATTTAGAACTCTAGTAAAACTATACTTGGGATGTTACGCTTAATCATACCAAGGTATATAAACTTATATATTAAGATCAAAATACCATAGTAATATATATGAATAAATATGAAGTTATAATACTATCTTACTAATATTCTCAATAAAGCAATAGCTAGTCTAGCTCAACAAATTTAGCAATTGAATTTTGAAAGAAGAAATTTTAGGAATGAAGGCATATGGGGATTATCAAATTTCTAACCAAATAATACCTTTTCATTAATACCACAATGTAATAATCATATCTGCTATTTATGTAAGCAGCTAAGACATATAAAAAGAAATTGTCCTAATGGCTTCAATATTCTGAATAATAATAATCAAAATTCTTAACCTAGTAAAGTTCAAGAAAATAACATATAAGGCTCTGTTTACCTAATGCAACTACCTGTTAATACCACTCTAGTAGCAGGAATCAATAATCTTCAAAAACTGCAGCTGCTCCAATTGTTATCACAATTAGTACAAGTTGATACTAAGGGATAGCTTTTAAACTAAATAGTATATCTCATAAAGGTAGGGTTGGTAAAAGTCCTAATAAGTCCTAATTGGTCTTAAAGAATTTAAAGATAATTTTAATTTATAAATTATTAAATAAATTTTTTAATAATAAATTAATCATTTTAATAATTATTATATATCAATTATTTTATTAATTTAAATAAAAAAAACCTTTAAAAATAATAAATATACTTAATTTAAGATCTGATCCTAGGACCTAGGTTCTAGTTCTAAATTTTAAAAATATTTTAAATTTCAAAAAGAAATTTAAACTAATTTTAATAAGTAACTTTAATTAAAAAATTGAATATAATGATAATATTTAAAAAAATTTAATCTTTAAAACTAATAATTTTTTTAAAATTAATCAGGACCAATTAGAACCAATTAGGATTTTTACCAACCCTACATAAAGATGTCGAACCAATAGTTGTTCCTTCTAATTTATCATCATTTGAAGTTTACCTAATCACTAAAACATAAGCTTAAACTATACAATACAGAAAATCCCTTATAAACAGTATGAGAATGCTGAAGAAAAGAAAATTAATAAAATTGAAATAACTCAGCAACTCACAAATCAACAAAAGAAAAAAGGTATACCAGTTAAGTAAAAGACCAAAATAGCAAAGAAAAAACTCCTTTAATCCTGCTAATAAATAATATGATTAATCTTTACATACCACAGCAATTTTTTGATCAACCTGTTAGTATCACAAATAGAAAGTTAATGGTCATGAATCCTAAATTTGGATAAGCTGTACTAAAGAAAGCTAATAATAAAGAAGCTAAAAGATCCAATTATTATGGAAGAAAGGACTGAAAATATAGAGTTAAATTTTGCAAACAAGGCTGAGAAAAGAGCTGTGTCATTATATTGTGATGCTTATATTAAAGATACAAAGATTTCATTAATAATTGATTCTAGTTTAGCTGAATGTATCATTTCATTGAAATTACTAAAGGACCTAGATATGGAAATAATACAAGCATCAAAGACTATTATGATTAATGTTAATAGAAAAAAGAGAAGACTTTTAGGTGCAGTAACCAAAAATTAATAATTACATGATTCTTTTTAATGCTGTAGTAACAGAAGCAGATTCTTACACTGCTATTGTTGGAAATGATTGGTTAAAAGAAATATAAGTAATCATTAACTATAAAAAAGGGCTTCTTAGTTTATATTATAATAACCAAGATATTATAGTATCAGTAGAATGTTACTGATTGTCACATAATCGTATCATCAAAATCTAATGATGAAGAAATTGAAGATGATGAACGTGAAAAGCATATTATTAAAAATAGTAATACAGATGAAGAATATGAGAAAGGTGGCTAAACTGCAGAAATAAGTATACTGTTTTAATTAGCATATAACAATGGAAGAATCTGAATTGATTGAAGATGAATTAATTGAGTAAATTAATCATGGGAAGATCCTTGAAAAAGAATGTTTGATGATTTCATAAAAAATTATAATGATTTATTTATTTGGGTTTCAGATGAATTTAGAAGGACTCCTGTTATTATGTATACAATTGATACAGGATCTACTATACTGATTAAATAAAGATATCTTATCAATATCAAAAATTTATCAAGGAAAAAATGCAGCGATTATTGAAATCCGAATTAATAAAATCTTTAAATAAATAATAAATTTTCCCAGTATATGTAATAGTAATTAAATAGAAAAATAGAAAGAAAAGATTATATGTGGATTATCACAAACTAAATAGAGCAACAAAAAAGGATTGCTACCCACTTCTAAAGATAAATGATATGCTATAAATATTAATATGCTCTTCTTAGTTTTCATCTCTCGATCTTACCAATGAATTTTAGCAAGTTGAATTAGAATCAAAAGATCAGAAGAAAATGGCATTTATCACTAGATTTGGTACATACAAATTTACTGTAATGTCATTCAGTTTTTGTAATGCATATACAGTCGGACCTCTATATACTGATATTCTATATACCAATATACTATTAAAAACTTTATATACTGATAAAATTTTATTTACCCACTATACTTGAAGTCATATAAATATCAGTATAATTTGATATAACGATATTTTTAAAAAAAATTTCTATATGTCCCGACATATCGTTATATAGAGGTTTGACTATACTACCTTTTAATACCTAATGGATACAGTTAGTGTTCCGCACGGATCGGATCGGATCGGATTTGGGCAAAATCCGATTTGATCCAAATCCGAAAAATCCGAATCCG